TAGCACAAATTGATTCACTGGCATTATATCACTGAAACCTAGGGTTGCAATCAGGCGGTCTGTTGGCCAGTATGATTTCACTTTGTGCTTATACACATGCTGCATAAGCATTATTGTGGCAAAGAACAGATACATCTCAGCTACAATTGTCTTCTTCCACTGGTGTAGACGTGATTTTGGTGAAAGTACAGTGGTCCCCCGCTTTTCGTAGTTCCCGGCAATCATAAATTTCACCAATCATAGGGGTATTTTCGTATAAACATGGACTCGCTTTTCATAGGTTGACTCACGAGTCATAGTTCGTCCGGGACGCATACCCACAGTGTGAGCCGGGGCGGCAGCCAGTCTGGCATTGTTTACCAGTGAGCGAAGGTCCCCTCACATGCTCCAGCGAAATATTTCATAATATTCCATTTATTTTAGTGCTTGCAAGTACTAAATAAGCTACCATGGCTCCAAAGAAAGCTCCTAGTGCCAAGCCTGTGGTAAAGAAGGTGAGAAATACGATTGAATTTAAGAAAACTATCATTGAACAATATGAAAGTGGTACAAGTGTGGCCGAACTGTCCAGGATGTATAAGAAACCCTACACAACCTTATGTTCCATAGCGGCCAAGAAAAAGGAAATAAAGGACGCTGATGTTGCAAAGGGAGTAACTATGCTGACAAAAATGAGATCACCAGTACTGGAAGAGGTTGAGAAGTTATTATTGGTGTGGATAAATGAGAAACAATTAGCAGGAGATACTCTTATGACTTAGATTATTTGTGAAAAGGCTAGGCAGTTGCATGAAGATTTGGTAAAGAAATTGCCTGCAAATAGTGGTGATGTGAGTGAATTTAAGGCCAGCAAAGGCTGGTTTGAGAGATTTAAGAACCGTACTGGGATACACAGTGTGGTAAGGCATGGTGAGGCTGCCAGATCAGACCACAAGGCGGCTGAAAAATATGTGCATGAATTCCAGGAGTACATAGAGGCTGAAGGACTGAAACCTGAACAAGTGTTCAATTGTGACGAAACAGGCCTCTTTTGGAAGAAAATGCCAAAGAGGACCTTCATTACATAAGAGGAAAAGGCAATGCCAGGACACAAGCCTATGAAAGACAGGCTGACGCTAATGTTCTGTGCTAATGCTAGTGGGGATTTCAAAGTGAAGCCATTACTAGTGTACCATTCAGAAAATCCAAGAGTGTTCAGGAAAAACAATGTTATGAAGAGTAAATTGTGTGTGTTTTGGAAATTTAATAGTAAGGCATGGGTCACGAGGGAAATTTTCGTTGAGTGGTTCAATGAAGTGTTTGGCCCTAGTGTGAAGGAGTATCTCCTGGAAAAGAAATTGGATCTCAACTGCGTGCTAGTAATGGACAGTGCACCTGCTCATCCTCCAAACTTGGATGACCCAATTTTCGAGGAGTTTGGGTTCATCACAGTAAAGTTCTTACCCCCGAATACCTCTCCTCTCCTCCAACCCATGGACCAGCAGGTTATTGCAAACTTTAAAAAACTCTACACAAAAGCAATGTTTCCCAGGTGCTTGACTGTGACCACAGACACTCACTTGACCCTGAGGGAATTTTGGAGAGAACACTTCAGCATCCTCCATTGCATAACCCTTATAGGTATGGCTTGGGAGGGAGTGACTACCAGGACTTTGAACTCTGCCTGGAGAAAATTGTGGCCAGATTGTGTCGACAAGAGGGATTTTGAAGGATTTGGGACTGACCCTAATGAGCCTATGTCTGTTGTAAAATCAATTGTGGCACTGGGGAGTTCCATGGGGTTGGATGTGAGTTTGGAGGATGTGAAGAATTGGTGGAAGACCACAATGAAGAGCTCACCACTGAGGAGCTGCAAGAGCTTCAGCAGGAAGAGCAACACATTGCAGCTCAGAATCTTGCTGCAGAGGAGGAGGAAGAGAGATGCAAGAAGGTGCCTTCTTCAGAAATTAAAGAGATTTTTACTATGTGGGGTAAGATGGAAAGCTTTATGGAGAAACATCACCCTAACAAGGTTGTTGCAAGCCAGGTTGGCAACATGTACAGTGACAAAGTCTTGGGCCATTTTAGGGAAGTGTTAAAGAGACGCCAGAAACAAGAGCTCTCTCCACAGTTATTTTGTGAGACAGGACTCCAGTGACTCTCAAGGTGGTCCTAGTGGCATTAAGAAATAGAGAAGAGAAGCAACCCCAGAAAAGTAAATGGTACCTGAGGTGTTGATGGAAGGGGATTCCCCTTCCAAACTATAAACAATCCACTCTCTCTCCTCCTCCAGTCTCCCATACACTAAGAAGAATCTCCAATAAAGGTAAGTGTTATGCTGTTAATGTTTGATTCATCATTTCCCATTGTATTGTTTATGTACTACATCTATATTTCATGTAAAAAAATTTTTTTGTTTTAATACTTCTGGGTGTCAGGAACGGATTAATTGTATTTACGTTATTTCTTATGGGGAAAATTGATTCGTAAATCGTAAATTTCGTTTATAGTAATGGCTCCAGGAACGGATTAATTACGAAAAACGAGGGACCACTGTATTGTGTTTGCCAAGGTGTACTCGTAGTATGTGTTGCTTTCCATGACAATACTTTCCATCAGGGGTTCATCAAAGAATAACTGGAAACATTCCAGTTCACTGGCATTGTTTCCCAGTGTACAAGATGGCCGTATTCCACTTTGGCTGTCATCAAACTTGTGGGCATTTGGAACAAAATTGACAGCTTCCTGCCAATCCCAGGTGCGGTCTACTGGTGGGTACTGGACAATGACAGGTTGTTGTGGTTGTGGAGGCTGGTGTGGTGGGTGGGTGGGGGATGGTGGCCTTTGTTGTAGATCAGCTGAGGCAGCAGCATGGGTGGCAGCATGGCCCACTGCTGGCGCCTCACGGCCGGCACCACCACTACCACCACCATGCACATTTTCCATCCCAATTGCAACAGTATCATCGTCATTTTCACTGTCAGCTCCTGTTGTACAGCCACAGGATGTACTCCGAGATGTACTCCTTGCCCTTGGAATAGCATGTGGCACACTACCAGAGCGCATATATCGTTGTATATACTGACGATTCACTGGGGAATATTGCACTTCACTATCGCTACTGGAACTAGTTTGAAGAGCTTGTAGTTCATAATCATTATCACTATCATCACAAATGCTCACATCTGAGTCTAGGATTTGGGAAAATAGGAGTTTCCTCTTTGATTCTGGTACAACTGAGCGTGAACAAGATGGCCCAGCACCAGAGGTGGAAGGCTGAGGGTCGTCTGGGTTTTCCTCACTATTACCAATATTATGGTCATTAGTTTCAGTCAAAACCTTGAAACTCATCTTCACTGGCACTTAAATCTGTATTAGAACTGTCACTGGGGAACAAAAGTGTCCCAATTCACCGAGGAGTGAGGAGCTTCTTACCGCGAGGCATGGTGGGCAAGGTGTACTAATATGGCGTTCCCACAATGCGCCACTGGGTCCCAGATTTTTTTTCTACTGCGCACACCCACCACACAGACCCATTCTCTTACATCTAGGCCTACCAGCCTTTTCCCGCGAGATTTGAAGGTGCTAGAATTTATGCGTACTAGTACGTCAACTAGTATGGCCGAATCCCTGAAAGGGTTAAAAGACAAAGAAGGGAAGTAACCCCAGAGAAGGCTTTGCTACCTAACGTCTTTATGGAGGGGGATTCCCCTTCCAAACACTAACTGCTCCCTCTTTCCTCCTCCCTATCTTCCAGAAGCCAGCATTAGCCTTCAATAGAGGTATGTAATATTTATATAATTGTTAAAAAAATTATTTTTTTGGTGAATATTTTTGTCTGGAACAGATTAATTGTATTTTCATTAATTCATATGGGAAATATTATTTCGTTTTTCGGCCAGCCTTCTGGAACGAATTACGGCTGATAACCGAGGGTCCACTGTATAATGCATAATACACATTACTGGCAAGAAATACACATTTTCACTTGTTCAGGAATCAGACGTGATCGTGTGTAATACCAGTTGGTTCATGAGCATCTTTCTGAGACAAGAGGGACAAGCAGACAAAAAGACACACACACACAGGCAGACAGAAAGACAGACACACAAAGGAAAGCAGAACAACAGACACAGGCAGACAGAAAGACAGATAAACAGACATAGCTAGACAGACATGTTTATGTTCAACATTGAAAACAAATAAAACCAGGGTTCCGTGCAGCAGTGCATGGTCATCGTGTCACTCCACTGCTTACCCTGTCAGCATTTTAGTAACACTTGTCTTAACACCATGCTTCTAGGAGTTTCATACTCCAGCATGTCTAAAACATTGCTGGTACCTATAAATACTTTGTATATATTCATAGACAATAGTAAATGACCAAGGCAGGTGAAAATGTTGATCTATCAGTGTGTTTGTGACAATGTGAGTAAAATTTCAGTACCTAATATTAGTGTCAGAACAAAGATTGGCTATGAAATCACAAGAACTACTATAAATTGTAATTATCAGAACATAAAAATTATATAAATTTAAATAAAAACGAGAAAAAAGGTATATCATCAACACTTTGCAAGCGGCAGGACTCCATGTTGCCGTCAGGTGAGCATCCAGCGCCAACTTCACGGTCTTATATCTCAGTAAGTACTGGTCCTAAAAAAAAATTTTTTTTTGGTCTTATTACACACAGAAAATTGCCCTCTTTAATTTTTTTTTTTTTTTTTTTTTTTTTTTTTTTTTTTCAAAATATTCGGAGCACTGAGCTTGCGAACATAGATCTACATTTGGACAGTTAAGGGGTTAACAACTGCAAATTTGGGAGTGTGACTGTATCAGTTCCCTGTTATGGTTTTTGTGCAGCCACTTGCTTATTTATGTGTTGCTGTCCACAAGATGGATATAGGATGCACAATAAATTGGTAAGTTTGGCAATAAATCTAGAATCTAAATGTTAAAATTATTTCAGTGGATTGTTTCTACTAGAGTATTTATAATGCATATTTTGATTATTTCTCCAGGTGACTGTGAATGGAAAAGAATATTTAGCCAAAGAAGCAGCTTCCAAGAAGCTGGCTCGAGCTGATGCTGCCAAGCTCTGTCTTCAGTTTCTCGGACTAATGCCTAAATCTAAGCAGGCTAAGTGAAAAGTAAATGTTGGTTAGTTTTTATTTATGTTGACTACTGTGTGAGAGAGAAAACAAGGTTCTACAGTTACTTGGGTAATACTGAGACTCAAGATAGTGCACAAGCTGCAAACATCCACACTTATGAATTAGATTTGTAAAAACAATGTTTAAATATTTGTTTAGCAAATGCCAACCCACAGTTACAAATCAGCTCTAAGAAAATTATTTAAAAAAAAAAAAATGTTTTAGAAATGCCAATCTACAGTGATAATTGTGTGTGGGGCACATAACTGTCCTCTCTACTCTTATGTGTAAGAAGTTCTTAGTGTCAAGCAACTTGTTCATAAGTGGGAACACCAGTAACATAACTTGTTGAGAAGTGGGAACACTAGTAACACAACATGTTCAGAAGTGGTAACACCAGTAACACAACTTATTCGTAAGTGGGAACTTGAAAAATATGTCATTTATTAGTTTGAGATTGCCAGCCTAGTCAGCAGGCTATAGCCCCAGGATTTGGGGAGAATGTCTTTATATGTGTTTACTATTGAATACAACTGCACTGCAATATATTTGACTATTGAATAAAATATTTCATGCTGCCCAGGAGTACCAGGGATCATTTTTTTTTATATATTAGTCTGCCACTAAATTTACACAATTACAAATACATTCACACTTGTGGGAAATATTTTAATGCTGTCATATATTTTAGGAGATAGATAAAGTGTTTTCTACAATGTTTGGTCTTCTTATCCTCTTGCTTGGTGGTCCTCCTCTTCAAGGAAGGTCCCTTGATCATGCTGAAGGGCTCTTGATCCAAGTAACTGAAACTGCCTTCCACATGTATGCATCAGACATGGTTGTCTTCTATTCCCTATATAGTGTATTATACCTGAGGGCTTAATGTATCTCCATAAATATAATAATTTCCACCATTCATATTGTTTAAAATTACAGTACAGTGGACCCTCAATAATCGTAAGGCTCGAAAGTTGTAATTTTTGAAAATCGTAACGTTATTTTCGTCAAAACATTGACTCGCAAATCGTCATTTGACTCGCAAATAGTTGTTTGTATAGAACGCATACACACAGCCCTGGGCCGCCTCACACTCCATTCCCAGCCAGTGTGCCATTGTTTATCAGTGAGTGAAGATGATCCCACGAGTTCATAGGATACATTTCATAATATTCCATTCGTTTTAGTGTTTGTAACTGCTAAGTAAGTCACCATGGCTCCAAAGAAAGCTTCTAGTGCCAGCCCTTTGGTAAAGAATGTGAGAAACATATAATTAAGAAAAAGTTTGTAGAAAAATATGAAGGTGGTAGCAGTTGTGATAGTGGTTGATGGTGGTAGACAGTGGTAGTGATGGTGCTAGAGGGTGGTAGCAGTTGTGATAGTGGTAGAGGGTGGTAGTGGTTGTGATAGTGGTAGACAGTGGTAGCGATGGTTGTAGCAGTTGTGATAGTGGTAGAAGGTGGTAGTGATGGTGGTAGAGGGTGCCTACTTCAGTGATTCAGCGATTCTACTAACTCCTCCAATGTTGCTGGAATTATATAGGGCTACAGAAAACACCGCTGCCTCAGCTGCTGCTTCACCACCATTATGGACAGCTTATGCTCACAGTGGCCCTTATACACCCAACAACAAAAACAGAACACCTTGTGACATTCATAATGACTTATTTTATTCATTCTAGAGTATATTCCATGTTTCTATGTTATTAATATTGTTTATTATGTCATATTAGTTGAATTGTGATAGATAAATAAGCCATACAGTTTATATTAGTGTCATATTCTCCAACAATAAACTCGCCTCCCCTCCCTCTGCCATACATCGACAAAAGTCTTCAATAAAGGTAAGTGTGATGTTAAATGTTCATTTATACATTTTATTAGTGCTTTACATTTATTTGGCATTCTTTTCTGCATGTAAATCTATATTTAAGCTAGGGAAGTGACCCCTGAAGTGACCTAGAGTCCTTATGGAGAGGGATTCCCCTTCCAAACAATAACCTCTCTTCCCTCTCTCCTCCTCCCTGTCTTCCATTCATCAACAACAGCCTTCAATAAATTCAATTCAAAGTTTATTCTCTATAAAGATTACAATGTTGAATTTACATAATTTGGTTGTTGTGTGGTTTACATGTAGTTAAATAATGATTACAGAGTGTACCACTAGAACGCCTAGCATGGCTAGGCATTTCGGGCAGACTTAGTTTAATTCTTTATTTTAAAATATTACAAATTATGAGATAAGTTGGTATTATGGCTAAGTGACTAAATACTAGTTTGTGAGTTTAGCAATGTGAATGCTTTTGTTTTGGCACAGTACATAGTTTCAGTATTGGAGTATCATAGGATTCATTATTTTAAGATTGAGATTAATATTTCTGTTTATGGTCAAATGGGTGAGTGAGTGTAAGTGTGAACCACCAGGTGGTATTCGTGTAGTAGTTAGTTGATGGGGTTTATCAGGGAGATAAGATGTTTTCTAATGGTAGTTTTGAAGGTGATGAATGTGTCTGCAGTTCTAGAGTTCTCAGGTAGGGTGTTCCAGATTTTGGGCCTTTGACATACATTGAATTTTTGTAAAGGTTTAGTCGGACATGGGGAATGTCGTAGAGATGTTTGTGTCTGGTGTTATGCCTGTGGGTTCTGTCACAACTATCAAGAAAGCATTTTAGGTCAAGGTTGATATTGGAGTTTAAGGTCCTGTAGATGTAGATTGCACAGTAGTAAGTGTGGATGTACTGAACAGGGAGTAAGTTTAGATCTATGAAGAGTGGGGGGGTGTGTTGCCAGGGATGGGATTTAGTGATTATTCTTACTGCAGCTTTTTGTTGGGTTATTATTGGCTTTAGGTGTGTTGCTGCAGTTGATCCCCAAGCACAAATAGCATAGGTGAGGTATGGATAAATAAGTGAGTGGTATAGTGTGAGAAGGGCATTTTGCGGCATGTAGTATCGTATCTTGGAGAGAATCCAACTGTTTTGGATATTTTTTTGGGTTATGTGTTGGATATGGGTGCTGAAATTTCAGGTTGTTGTCAAGGTATAGGCCTAGGAATTTGCCCTCATTATGTCTGGTAATTAGAGTGTGTCGATCTTAATGTTAATTTGTGCATCTCCTCCTCTGCTACCAAACATAATATAGTAGGTTTTGTCAATGTAAGCGTAAGTTTATTGGCTGTCATCCAAGTCGATATTTTGATCAGCTCCTCGTTAACAATGGTGTTGAGGGTGGCAAGATTAGGGTGAGAGATGACATAAGTCGTGTCGTCAGCAAAGAGAATGGGTTTTCAGGTGTTGGGATACGTTTGGAAGATCATTGATGTTTTTGAGGAATGAGCAGGGGACCAAGGAACTTCCCTGCGGAACTCCAGTATCAAGTGGCCGTGTTGTTGATGCTGTGTCTTTAATGGTAACATACTGATACCTATTAGTAAGGTAAGATTTGAAATAAGCAAGCGCATGGCCTCTTGTACCGTAATGGTCAAGTTTGTGGAGTAGGATGTCGTGGTCTACTGTGTCAAAAGCTTTCTTAGGTCAATAAAAATTCCTAGTGGATATTCCTTATTTTCCAATGCTGTGTAAAGCAGATCTAGCATTTTTTTTGATTGCATCATTAGTGCTTTTTTTTTTCCTAAATCCAAATTGGCAGGGGTTGAGTATGTTTTGTGCTGTTATAAATGAATATAGTTTCCTGTGCACGAGTTTCTCAAAGATTTTGGATAGCAATGGTAAGTTTGATATTGGCCTATAGTTGTTTAAGTCTGTAGGGTCACCACCTTTATGTATTGGTGTAACCCTTGCCATCTTGAGTAGTTTCAGGAAGGTGCTAGTTTCTAGTGACTTGTTAAAAAGTAATGAAATAGCATGCGAAAGGATATGGGCCGCTCGCTTGTACAGTAATGGTGGGACATTAGACAGATTCCCTGAGTTGTTTTTAAGTGACTTTATAATCTCGGTGACTTCCGAGGGCTCAGTTGGTGCAAGATAGAAGGAATTTGGGAAATTCCCATTTAGGTAGTCCCCGGCATGGGCATTAGTATGTGGGATTTTATTGGCGAGATTAGATCCTATGGTTGAGAAGAAGTCGTTTATCTTGTTAGCTGTGTCATTGGGATGTAGTGGTGTTTCATTAGGTTTAGTTAGGACAATATTCTTGTTTTTTTTCAGTTTGTAATTGCACTAAGGTGTTATATAAGTTGTTTACAAGAATTAGAGTATAACTAGATTTAAATTGACAAGATAAAATATACAAGTTAAGGTAGCAAAAGAATAAAAAAAGTAGAAAAAAAAAAAAAAGATATATGAGGTAGTTGGTACTAGTTAGCAAAAGATAGTTAAGGGCCTTGAACAATAATATAATTGAAATATACACTAATTGCACGCACAATATAGTCACTAAGATATGAAAACAATCTTAGAGTAGGAATTATAATATAAACTTATAATATAAAAATACAAATAAAGGTAACTGTCATGTTGAATGTTCATTCTTTTGTGCATGTAAATCTATCTTTAAGGTAAAAATAAAAAAATTGTTGTTGATACTTCTGGGTGTCTGGAACAAATTAATTGGATTTACATTATTTCTTATGGGAAAAATGGATTCACAAATTGTCAGTTTCGATAATAGTCATGCTCTCTGGAACGGATTAATTACGAAAAACGAGGGTCCACTGTATTTACAAGATAAAATATATTAATGGAGATGACCTCCAAGGAAACATGCAAATATTTCTTAAAAAGAAGCATAGTAGGATTTTATTATGTGAAGAGTGTAAGCTACTAAAATACTGTATAGCCATTGAGTATACGTTACCTGTAAAATTGATTTGTGCACAAAAAAAATTGATGGTGCAGTGATTGATTCACCAACTTTCAAAACTCTCTCTTAGCTTTTTGTAGTTTTATTGTCTTGGAAGGCATATCAACCATTTTTGAGTACTTACTGTTATGGTTGTAGGAGATAATGAAAGGCAGAGTACAGTAGGGCCCCGCTTTAAGGCGTTCCGCTAACACAAACATTTCAAATTATGACCAAAACTCGCTATACGACTCCCCCCACCTGACTTTCTAATACGGTCACTGCGCCCCACCTGGTTTGTTTACATTCTCCAGTGACCTCCGTAAGCACCACATCTCTCCATTATGTCTGGAAACTCCAAAACTTAAAATGTTTTTAAAAGTTATTTCATATTTCATATATACTCTGATAATTATACTTACGTATACCTGTACCTAAATAAACTTACACACTGTGCTGGTGTGCAGGTACACATTAAAATCACTAAGAGTGTCTTACTTCTCGAGACGCCATATTGATAATAATAATAATACTCAATAATAATCAGGGGCTAACGTGACGGTCTGGAGTTTTGAGTCTCTCTGACCGTGGGTTCAAACCCCTTCCAAGGTATGGTTTGTTTGCAATCATGTCATTACAATTTCGTGAGTCATGTTGATGGCTTTGAGGGGACTTGAGATAGAGTTCATCACAGCCATGCTAGCGGGAGATTCGTCTGTAAAAACTTGCATTTGTGGTCACTGTGGTGCCTATGCTAACCTTCCTATGGTGTAGAAATATACCTAGTTGGATGAATCTTATTGAAGTTAGCTGGCCCAGTGGCTAACGCGATTTTCTGAAGTTTTGAGACTCTCTGACCACGGGTTCAAACCCCACCTGTGGTATGGTTTGCAGTTTGGAGGACCATCTGAACCGTCGTA